TCCAGGAGTCCATACTCTTGGATACACTCCATGTGGAAGGGTGACCATAGCTGCCAACCTCCAGGTGGGACCTGGGGAACTCCCAAGCTTACAGCTTATCTGTAAACTACAAAGATCAGCTGCCCTGGACAAAATGATTGCTTTAGAGGGTGGACTCTATGGCATTATACCCCGCTCAGGTCCCTTCCCAGGCTCCCTTCCCAAATCTCCAGGAATTTCCCAACCTGGAGTTGGCAACCATGCCAAGGCTCTGCTGAACTGTTGCCGTAACCTCAACTTGCGGGTTCTGTGGGGCAGAACTTGGAATGAATCTTGCAATAATTCAAAGAGAATAAAACATTTTTACTTTTCATCTAACTTCATCTCATGTAACAAAAACATAGAACTTAGTAACACAACAGAGCAGTGATCTTTCAAAGTCCAAAGAATTAACTTTCCCCTCCTTCACAGCTTGTCACCCCCAAAGTCCATCTCTTTCCTCTTGCTGGTGGCCCAGGATTTTTCCCCATGAACACTCTTTGCACCAGCTTCAAAGATGAGGCTCCCAAATGAACACCCCATTGGATAACACAGCCCTGAAACAAGGCGTCGAGAGCCTATGATTAAGGTTCAAGCTCCCCAGCAGGGCAGTCTTGCTTCCCTCCTTTCCTTTCCACACATCCCGCACCCTTCTGCATCCAAAGGCTCCACCCCTTCCTGGCTCACTCCATTCCTAGCTAGGGGTCACACCACCACTGATCACGGAATGAGTGGGAGGTATCATTTACTGGGCAGGTGTGGGGGAATGATGGGACTAGGCAGTTTAGGGCACAGCAAATGGCACAACCATGCGTTGCCAGTGAGGGCTCGGCTCCTCACAAAACACAATATCAACAAACATACTAAATAACAAACTAGATCTTGAACAGTTCCCATATTCAGCCGCTTGCTCATCTGAAGGCACAAGAGCTAAAAGGCCAAAAGCCCTTCTGGCTTGAACCAAATGGCTCCTGCCCCTGACTATGCCTATAGTACCAGCAACAAGAAGGGGAAAGCAAATGCTCAGCAAGATGGTGGCAAAGATGTTCCTCCCTGATGGAGCATGTCCTAAGAGAGCCAAGTGTGGTACAGGCGTTAATGTGGGACTTATGCGGTGGCTCAAGTGGTTAAGATGCTGAACTGCAGGCTGTGGAAGGTTGGTAGTTCAGCAGTTTGAGACCCAAGTGTGCCGCATGACGGAGTGAGCTCCCGTCTCTAGTTCCAGCTCCTGCCAACCTAGCAATTAGAAAGCAAGAAATTGCAAGTAGATCAATAGGTACCACTTCAGTGGGAAGGTAACAGCATTCCGTGCGCCTTGGTGTTTAGTCATGCCAGTCACATGACCATGGAAACATCTTCGGACAGCGCTGGCTCTTCGGCTTTGAAACGGAGATGAGCACCGCAACCCTAGAGTCGGATTCGACTGGCTTTCGAGCAAGGGAACCCTTTACCTTTTACTGATGCCTGGGAGGCCCTGACCTGGATGGCCCAGGCTAGCCTGATCTCATCAGAACTCAAAAGCTAAGCAGGGTCAGCCCTGGGTAGTATTTGGATGGGAGACCTCCAAGGAACATCAGGGTTGTGACCAGTGTTCCCTCTAAGCTGAGTTAGTGTGAGCTGCCTCACAGTTTTTTAGCCTCCAGCTCACACTTTTTTGTCTCAGCTCAGGAAGGATGGCTCCAGAGCAAACTAATTCACACCTTTAATGCAGTTCACACCTTTAATGTCAGTAGCTCACAAAGTAGAATTTTTGCTCACAAGACTCCACAGCTTAGAGGGAGCATTGGTTGTGACGTAGAGCTGGCAAGTCATCTCTGAACATCTCTTGCCTTAAAAACCCCTGTGAGGTTGCTAGAAATCAGCTGTGACTTGACGGTATTTTCTACCACCACAATGCCAGGGAAATGCAGGTTCAAATACCCACTCAGTCGCCAAGCTCACAAAGTGACCTCTCTTTCAGTGTGACCCCGATCTCCTTGGAGGAAGAGCAGGGTAAAAATGAGATAGATACATCAATAACTTTGCTTTGTTGCACCTGGCCGTGGGGATCGGGTCCCCATTATGAAGTGCAGCGGGGAAGAACGCAGATGCTCACCAGAGAAATGAGTCGACGGTGACCAGCACCACAGGAAAGGGTTATGCTCATTTCTTATTGGGGGAAAAAATCTCATTAGAAACTAGAGGGAGAAAATGATATCTGGAATTAAAAAAAACAAATTACATGCAAAGTCATCTTTCTCCGCGTCCTTGCACAAGACTTCTTTTGTTTGCATTATCATTTTTTCATCTACATGGGGGAAAAATGCACACACTGGAGTGCGCTTGGGTGAGAGCAAACTGGGTAAATATTCATTTTTAAGTAGCTACAATTATGCCTTCAGCGTTGGCATGACTGTGAATAAGGAGCCAGGCAAATGTGTGTCATTATGAAGAAGAAATTGGGTCCCAAGATATTTGTGTCCACTTGACCGTGTCTCCTCAAGTGAGGCCCCACAAGCCAACTCTGGATTCCTGAGTCACATATCATTAGTGCCGACACGACACAACTGACCTTTTCCCTAAGGTTTTGCTCGCACTCCAGGCTTATTCCTTATCAGTGGGGCTCACTCAGGACTGAGCCATGAAAGCACAAATAGTGTGTAACCCCCTAGCTGGGAATGGAATGAGCCAGGAAGGGGTAGAGCCTGTAGATGCAGAAGGGTGCAGAC